AATGATTGTAACAAATCCGGAAAGATTTTTAGAGGAATCTCTAGCCTCATTCTACATAGGAAAGTTAACACTGGAGAAAAGCCATATGAGTGTAGTGACTGTGGGAAGGCCTTCAGATATAAGAGTAACCTCAATCAACACCACAGACTTCACACTGGAGAAAAGCCCTATGTGTGTAGTGACTGTGGGAAGTCATTCAGGTATATCTCTGTTCTTTATCAGCACCAGAGAGTTCACACTGGGGAAAAGCCATATGAGTGTATGGATTGTGGCAAGACTTTCAGGCATAGTTCCAACCTCACTGTACACCAAAGAGTTCACACTGGAGAAAAACCGTATTAATGTGGTGAATGTAGGAAGTCCTTCAGACAAAGGCATGCCCTCACTGAACACCAGAGAATTCACACTGGAAAAAAACCTTATGAGTGCATTGAATGTGGGAAGTCCTTTAGAGGAAGGTATAACCTCACCGAACACCAGAGAATTCACACTGGAGAAAAACCTTATGAGTGCATTGATTGTGGGAAGTCCTTTAGAGGAAGGTATAACCTCACCGAACACCAGAGAATTCACACTGGAGAAAAACCTTATGAGTGTAGTGAATGTGGGCAGTCCTTCACAAAAAGTTGTAACCTTACTAGTCACCAGAGAGTTCACTCTGGCGAAAAACGTTATGAATGCAGTGAATGTGGGAAATCATTTAGATGTCGTGGTCACCTTCTTAAGCACAAGAGAGTTCACACAGGAGAAAGGCCTCATGAGTGTAGTGAATTTGGGAAATCTTTTAGCAGAAAATCTCACCTCATTAGACACCTGATTGTTCACAATGGAGAAAAGCTTTAAATGTGCACCCAATACTTAATTTTTCTCATTGACAATAACAGCACTAATGGGGTCTCTTTGATACACATTTAATGGACAATAAACCCCTTTTATCACAACATGCACTCCCCTAGATTCCTCATAAAATTTCAAGTACAAGTGATGCTTTAAATAACTGCATGGCACTTGCTAAGCTGCTTGGGCCTACTACCCGATTGATATCACTGGGAGTATTTCTGGCTGAGGCTATTTCACCTCCACCACCTGGCTCACCTGAACAGGGTGCATCAGTCACAACCCCTGCGTGGTCAGGGAAAAAGAAGTCTGTGTTCTCAGCTCGTTCTGAGTAAACTGCGATTACTCCAAGCTCTTGTCAGGATCTTCATTCCTTTCTGACTAGGAAATGGAGTTATTGATGGTTCATCCTGTGCACCCATCCTCAGCTAAGTGCTACCTCTCTCAGGACATCATCTTATGCTGTGATGAATTGTTTCCATTTCCAGTTCACCAACCTGCAAACCCATTGAATTTTCTAACACATCTCTGGTTTCTGATATTTTTTGTCAAAGTGAATTTGCTCCTGTACTAGTACCTTTCATTTTGTTGGTCCTATTCATG